GACATACATTTGTACTGCGATTTCTTGCTCAAAAATTGATACTCTTCTACAAACGTTTTAATTCATTTCATTCACGTCTTCAATTTACTCTAGAAATAGGGAGAGAAAAATTACATTTTTTGGATGCTACAATATTTATTAGTAATAATCGATTTGTTTTTGACTGGTATCATAAACTTATCTTTTCAAGGAGATTTTTAAATTTCCACTCAAATCATCCAATTGCACAAAAGAAAGGTACAATTTTTTCTATAATTGACAGAGCTTTTTTACTTCCTGACTTTATGTTTTACACAAAAAATTTGACACTTATTATTAACATTTTATTAGATAATGATTACCCATTAACTTTTATTTTTGACACAGTTAATCAACGTATAAAAAATTTAAAACCAACTTAAAAACAAATACGTAGTACATAAAGATCTGATTGACAATGTTTGTGCGAATGCATCTTGGCTTACGGTACCATTTATTCCTTTTCACACAGAGACATTTAAACGATTTAACAAAAACGACATTAGGGTATCTTTTCATAGTCCTAATAAAATGGATAAATATATAAAAGTACAAAAGGATATTTATTCCTATATATCTAAGAGCAATGTAGTTTATAAGATTTCGTGTAATAATAATTTCGTGATGTATCGTACGTTGGACAGATAATTGAAAAACCAGAATTACAGAACATCATAATCATATTAGATATAACACTTCTGTCCGTTCTGTCGTAACGAAGCATAGGCTGCAGTATGATCATGGGACAACGTTAAAATCTTGGAAGAGTTTTGCTATAGGAAACGCTAATTTCTGAGATGCTCAACATTAAAAAACAGAAAAATAGTCTTAATTTACAAATTGACATTGAAGGTCTATATAAGGCATATATATACCTATTGTAAATAAAGTTTGATTCTTCGATACTGATAGTGTGTCTCCTCTCTCAGTCCGTGTTGATCCGTATCAGCGAGTGTATATTACAATCGACACACAATGTCCGTCTTGCATATCTGCGTTCCATTAAACTGTATACATTTTAATTGGTTTTTATACTTATACGAACATACTTATTTGAATAATTTACATTAATTTTATGGTTTCTGGTGAGTTTTTATTTGTTAGAATTCCGGTATGTTACTTTCATCTGGTTTAGTATTTCGTAAAAAGACTTTTTTATCTTTTTTACCGACTAGATCTTTTTCCAAGAAATATGAAACACGTTTGACCGTCCAATCATAAATGATGTCGAGTTCTACATCAAGACTCACTCAAGCTGTTATTATAAGGAATATACGAGCATTTTCGATAAATAATTTTGTACAGCGATCTTTGCGATAAGTAAATGTCTGAAGAGGGCTCATCCAGTAGTCGAAACTTGTAGTGTTTTATATTTGAATTTAAACTGTTTTCTTTATTCTTATTTTTCTTTATTTATAATTTATTCTTTTTAATTGTGTTACAATTTAAAATGTGCTTGACTCTTACTTCGCCCTTTATTTATTGTTATTTATTTTGTATATGAAGAGTTCTTCTATCTGTTAAATGTTAAAGATGTTTCTTAAAGAACTCTTAAAGATATTTTAAAGTTCTCTTTTGAGTCAATTTTAAACAGGAAAGCATTGTTAAGGTTAACTCATTTTACTATAACAGTTTCTTTTATATTACTGTCAAATTGCTAGCAAATTTATTTTATGTAGAATTAGTTACCATCATGTTGTCATGCGATTGTCCTAACCTATAAAACTTACAAAAAAGAAAAGGGAAATTGTTTCTCTTTGATTATGCATAACCGTTTATGGTATATATTACCGCTAATATTATAAGTAAAATTGGCTCCTTTCCTCAAAAAAGATGACAATTCAAGCGACGCAATTTGTATCAAATTTATAGCAATATTCGGGGAACTTACTATTTGAGCATACATAAGGGCATATCAAAAGTATACCTGGAAGTATATCTGGAAACGGTCGAAATCTCGAAAGGATTTTTGAGAAAAATGTTTCAGACAAAAGTTGTAGGGTTTAAAAAGATCTATTCACTGATCATATTCGCTTGACCTTGCGTAGCGTCACCAAGGTCAGGTAAAGGTCAAATTGATTTTTAAAAATGGAATACCCTATTTTTGATGGCCAGAATTAGAGATCCTATAATCAGAGTTTGGCAAAAGCGGGTACAACTTCTGATTGGTTTTCCACCTTGGTCCAGTCGGTATTCTTCGAGATTGTATCTCTTATTTTCATTTTTACGTAAAAATGAATTCTTAATGCAAAAATAAAAATAACAGGTATCACCTCCAATGATTTTAAGCTTAACAAATGTTTTCCAGAACATGATCCTGAATAATATTCAAGAAGTTTTAGATGTCGATCGGACAGCTTGCTTAATGCTAATGCCGACGGTATTGTAACTTTCAAGTCTTATAACTCGAAAAATATTTAATGAAAAATGACTTTATTATAGTGTTTTGGAAAGCTCTTGATACTAGATATTAGATTCTGGCATCAAAAATAAGGTGTCTCATTGAAAAAAATCAATTTGACCTTGACTAGACCTTGACGATGTCACCTAAGGTCGTCACAAGCAAATGTAATTAGTAAATAGATCTTTTTAAACCCTACAATTTTTGTCTGAAACATTTTTCTAAAAAAATGCTTTGTTTCAAGATATTCGACCGTTTCTAGACTTGATACATTCTTATATACATATATATGTATATATATATATATATATAAGTAATTTATATGTATATATAACATACAACGTATATGCACATGTAACAATATAAAAAGATGACCGCAGTGCTGTCACCGCAGTATTTCGCAGCTGTGACAGATTTTCTAATCTCAACCGTCAACTTTAACGCCTAATAGCTTGCTTCGCAGGGCAATACCGTACTTTTTTCTGCCAGATTCTTTCATTTTGTCCAAAAATGCGTCGAATGAGCCTAATTTCATCGAAATTAGAGGTAAGACAGTTTTTCTGGATAATTACCGAAATTATTTATTTAGAACAATGATAATAACAAAATATGAACATATTTTGCATTTTCTATTTGAGGAATGTGATTGATCGTATAACGACTTTCGTTGTTTCTGCTTAAAAGATACAATATAATTCCGGATGCTGAAAAAGAAATACATAAAGATTCATATTTTATTGAAATTTTAGTGGTATTTACAAAAGCTTTTTTTTATTTATTGTACGCAAATTCATTAAATTATTAAAATCAAGATTTTTCAGCAGTTCGCTCTATATTGCTAATAATGCTAATGACTGATATGCCAATGATAGTCTAATATCAGTTGTGGATCGTGTATGAATATTGTGTGTTTTATTGTACGAGGAATGCGATATTAAAATTTTTAATTATTTGCATTTGATTATTTACTTTTATCAATGAAATACCATTTTAAGTTGAGACTAAAAGGGCCCCCCTAAAAAGATGAAGCTTGGGGCTGTAGTCCCTTTAGCCCTTCTATCCGCTTAATTCTGTTCCTTAAGGCCTGAGAAGAATAATCAACTATAATTGGCCAATTTCTTATGATTTAAAATTTAAAGATCAGATAATGACTTAAAATTTAAAAATTAGGTAATGACTTATTGTAGAAAGTCCATTCCGGAATTTCGTCTGCGGTAGCTCGGATCTATAATAAGACTTTTAAACCATAAGAAATGAACGAATCATAATGAATTATTCTCCTGGCATTCGACTGTAATTGATCGATTTTAAAGCTAAAATACTTATTATAGAGCCAGACTTAGCAGAAAGGCTGATAATAAGACAGTGTTTCATGATTTAAATCTTATAGTATATTTATATCTTTAGTAACGCACAAAAACTGTTTTATGACTTAGAGTCTGAATACAAGGATTGCCGTAACACTTACGACAGAAAGTTATAGACGTAAGCAACGCACAAGCTTTGGCGCATGACGTGGTAGCACGCTATCAAGAGATACAGCAATATACATACATAAATTCTGCGTTATACGCCAAAGCTTATGCGTTGCTTACGTCTACAAGTCTGTCGTTACGGCAATCCTTGTGTTCAGACCCTTAGTTTCGATCCCCAACCTTGTTTTGAGAGGCCTTAAACCTATTCTATAATTGTGTAAGCGTAGTTGTAAGTGATTGTAGTATAAGAATTAACCAATCATAGTGAAATATGAGGAAAGTATTCGAGGAAAATATTGATTAGTTAATTTTACACAACTACAACCACTTACAATTATGTTTACGCAATTGTAGAATGGGCTTTAAGTCATAAGTCAAAAGAGATGTGACAATAATTTGTTTTTAAACTATTTTTGCGCAGTCTGTAGGCTTTAATCGTTAGACTTAAGCGAATTGAGCAAAACTCAATTCTTATGGCCTATAAGTATAAGTTCTGTGTTCGTCACTTACAACTTATAGCTTACGGCTTACGGTCTCTTAAAGCAAGGTTGTGGATTTAGTCTTATATCTTAAGCTTATTCTACAATAGTCGTAATCGTAGTTGTAAGTGGTTGTAGTTGTAGGAATTGACCAATCAAGTTAAATGTGAAGAGGATATTTGATTGTGATTGGTCAATTCTTGTTTAATAATTACAATCACTTACAGCTGTGCTTACGACTATTGTAGAACAGGCATTATAAAGTTGTACAAATACAAATTATACACATTTAAAAGCGTAAGACCATAACGTAACAGTAGCTAATCCAATATATTGATTTTTTTACTGCTTACGTCTTATTGCTTTAAGTTTTTTGTGTGCCATGGCCTTTATTGTTTTATGCTTTTGTATAATATATGTACTTTTGTATGTGAACTTAAACTATTACCTAAACTTCAAGTCTGAAATCGTAAGAAATTAACTAATCACAGTTGAAAGTGAGAAAAATAATTGACTATAACAAGAAAATAAAAAAAGCAGAAATCAAGATTAAATGTAGAATTGCGAATTTCGGAATAACACAAATCTCACAAATATTGGTGCAATCTCAAAGATATTTTTGTTTAGGAATACAGAGGCATATTATGTTCGTAGCAGGAGGATACGTTTTGGCACAATTTGTAAAGAAGCTTGTTGACAATTTTCAAGCGGAACGTGATACTAAACTGAGAGATTATATTATACGACATCCAGAACTTTTCCCCGAGCCAGGTAACGCGCTTTTCTCCATTCTTAGATAATTAAAGTATTAAATAAAATAATCTTTCTGCTTATACTGTTAAATGCGTATGTATTTTGCAAGATTGAAAGTAACGACTTATTTATGACATCTTTATCATATACCGTTACTTTGTTAAGTGTTAATCATTTTTTTATGTCCATAACGATAATGGAAATGTTACATTTTTACAATAATAAAATAATAACGAATTTAGCTATTACTTTTCATTCATCATTATTTTTTGTTCTTTATTTATACTTATATATCCAGTTTATAAATTGTATTTTTTATTGTATAAATAATACATTTTATGGAATAGAAAAAGGAGGATATAATTTTTATTTTTTTATTGATCGTTTTATTTATATATTTTCTTATATATTTTTCTTTAGAAATTGAAAATTATTACGATTATGACGTTATACGCAAGGAAAAATTGATATATTGAAATAAAGAACAAAATCTTTATTTATATTAAACTACTCTGAATTAATTTTTAAATGATTAAAATATATCTGATGACAGTGATTTTATAAGGATATGAATAAGGATTTTATTCTTTATTTTAATGTATCAATTTTTCTTTAAGTATTGAAATAAATAAACAAATTCAAAGGACTCTTTCAAAACATAATAACAAAACTCAATCAACGGGCGAAGTAAGAGTCAATCACCTTTTTTTAATTTTTACATAAAATTATATATTATATTAAACGCGATGAAACATCACGCCAAAAAATAAGACTATAAACTAATACATTACAAGTTACAAGTTTCGGCTACCGGTTTGAGCCCTCTTCAGACATTAGTACAATGAAAAGTAACAGAACAAATTCAATTGTCGCAAGTATTCATATATTCCGAATAATCACAGTTCGGGTGAGTCTTGAATATATGAATACTTGCGACAATTGAATTTGTTCTGTTACTTTTCATTGTACTAATGTCTGAAGAGGGCTCAAACCGGTAGCCGAAACTTGTAACTTGTAATGTATTAGTTTATAGTCTTATTTTTTGGCGTGATGTTTCATCGCGTTTAATATAATATATAATTTTATGTAAAAATTAAAAAAAGGTGATTGACTCTTACTTTGCCCGTTGATTGAGTTTTGTTATTTAAGTATTGAGTTATTATTGTTGATAATTTTCAGTTTTAATGAAGAAAAAAAATACATAAGATACTAAAAAATAAAACGAACAATTGCGAAAAAAGTTCTACCGTCCTTTAAATATTGAACAATATTCTGTGTCTTTATATCTGCATTATAAGCTGCATTTTAGTAGTTATTGCTAATACTGAAAGTAGTATACATATGTATATGTATATAAATTATAGATTTTTAATATTAACAATGAATAATAGCTATTGAAATACAGGGTGAGTCATTAGAATCCGAGCAAAATTAAATTTGAAATTTCCGTCATATTATAATTCACCTGTAACTGCTACTTTGCATTGAAGTCAGATGCATAAATGAAACATTTCTAACTTCAAAGTCAATTATGAATATAGAGTATAAGCGAAGGGCAGCAATTACTGAAAGTTTGCGCGCTAGAAGGATGTCAAGATAAATTATAACGTCTTTCGGATCTAAAATCAACGGTCTATGATGTTGCCAAGAGATATGTGGCTTCAGAGGAATCCGACAAAGGTTCCCCGGCGAGGAAAAAAACAAGGACACCGGAACTCATTCAAAAAGCCCAAGAGCTCATTTTGGAAGACCCAAGGATTTCGATTAGGAAATTGATCGTTTTGAAAGAGAGCTAACGTCCATCGGATTGTTGAAGATTTGGTATACGTCGTACGTCCTTAAGATATTTCTTCGAAGAATTGAGTTTTTACAGATTTTTTTTTAAATTTTTATATTATGTTTAAAATAATTTAATCTATATATAATTAAAATTTTAAACACCTTAACCGAAATGGAA